TAACAGGCAGTTCTGCTATGTATAGGTGAGGGGTGAAACTGTTTGTCAGGTGAAAAAGGCCTTGTTGCCGTAGAGAATATGTGCAGCATACGGACGAATGAAAAAAATCCGCCCATTCAGATTTTATAATTTAGAAGTGCAGCGAAATTTGCAGTATTATTGGCTGATGCCTTGATATTGTAACGGCGTGGCTGCATAGCTGTTAATGGCGGAGTATAAACAGGCTACCACATCTGGCGCTTCGGCCTATATTTATGGACTAATGCCCATTAACAGAAAAAAACCCTTAAAAATCTTGCAGACATAAATTCATCCTTTTTATTATATCACATTACCGTAGTTTTGCCTATTTTAATGTTAATACAAGCCAAAAAAAAAAAGCTTCTCTATTTCTTTTCAGCAAAGAATCACGTGCTGAAACGACAATTAACTTCTCCGAACAGTTTCTCCGTTCTTTGTACTACACTGGAGCAAACATTATGTCACAACTTATGGTAGAACTACGCAACGGGAGCGAATAGGACCATATTTAACCCTTTACGCTCGAGAAGTGACTAAATCACCACTTGATTTAATGCTATGGGGAGGAGATTCTCAGTCACCACTTTATTTGATGTGGTAACTCGAGAAGTGACTCTTGATCACCATTCAGTTTGACCAATTCGAACGGTAATGATGTTTATTAAACTTGATTTCGGCAATATTGCTTCATGAGCGTATTCAACAAACAATACATGCGTATAAAACAACTGCCAATCTTTAATCTTAAATACGTGTTTTAGATTTATTAATGTACAAGCGTCTTTGACGTTAGTTTAAACTCGACAGTCGTGGTAGTAGGAATATTGTTTTAAAAATTACGTAGCTACACAAGCATAGAATACGATCAAAGAATCAGTTCAAGTGAAGATGAGTTTTCGTTGTTGAAAAGCGAAATAACGTCTATATATAGACTACTTGGCCATAGAGAGAAGGAAAGCAGCGATAAAGATAGCGATGAAGTAAGAAGTGCAAAAAGGCGAAATTCAGGGTGTGTAAAAGTCATTGGGAAAGCGACAGTTATTCCGCAGAAGAGAATAAAAATTCATAATCAATACCATGCACAGAATTCGAAGAAATACAGATGGTAAGAATACAAATGGTATTCTTCGCAGTATTAGCATTAGCGAAAGAACAGCAGGACCGCAAGTATCTTCAGACATAAAAAAACCATTAGATTTCTGTGAAATCATTTTAAGTTAGTTGTAAGAAACTTATCAAATATGTAGAATATCAAGTTGCTCGTTCATCTGAGGGAAAAAGTCCTCGAGTGCAAAGCGTGGCGCGGTTTTTTTCAACCCATTTTTAAAGATTTGTATTTAAACAGCGTTTATTAGCTAAATTTCTAAAATTACTTATTTTATTCTCTGCTTTCATAAACTTCTACTCATTATGATGCTTACATTATTAAACAAAGTAAAAAATCAAAACATTTTAATTTATAAGCTAATATATGCCAATTATCAAAAAATCTCATCGCCGGATAAAAACGGTTATGCCACCAAGAGGGTTAAACTTCCACTTCACTGCTAACTGAACATCCAGATTACTCTTTATCCGCAATAATAAAATAACTAAAACGAACTTTACTTTGAAAAACCGCATACTTTATGGATGACCAAATATTTATAAAAGAATTTCGCGTAATGGACTGCAAGCAGTTCACTACTGCTTTAATTTTTAATTAACATCTTTCTATGAAAATTCTGTATAAACCTCCCGTAAACCGGGGTAATATTGAGAAGGACATCTACGATTATCTCAGAATTCCCTTTAATCTGAGCGCAGTTAAAATAAATGCGGGAAAGTGTTGTAACCATACTTATAAGCAACAGAAAAATACTAGTACCTGTATTTTCAATAAGTTCCTTTAATTACATAAATTGAATCACTATATTCCAAACACGGAACACTCCCTCCACACAGTGTAGGACTAAATCTCATTAGAAATGAAAAAATAAATTTATAAATATCATTAAAAGGCAATATTTCAAGAAAACTTGAACAGTGTAACTGAGTTCAAACTGGCGCAAAGAAAGTCTAAAACTTTTTTTTTTGTTATACGATTTTGATATATTCTGGATTATGCAAAACTTAAATACGCATTGTTAGAGATAAAAACAACTCGCCAAAGTTACGACAGCATTTGTTGACACTGCTGTTATTGGATGCGATTTTTCCCAGAAAAATTCTGTGCTGAGTTTATTTTACCTTGATGGTTTGCAATAGTAATTTTTCTGTCCTTTCAGAATTTCATTAAAGAGCAATATTTATAAGAAATTTTACCCTGTAGAGACATAAGTTATTTTTAGGAAGCAGGCAAGGTGAAAAATTAGCAACGCCTTCGCCGGGAATCGAATACCTCTGGAATACGCGCCTAGCGTACAGACCACCACACCACGAAGGCGTGCCAAGAAGGTGGGAGAAATACCTTATATATTCCCCCTTTTAAAGAGCGACTGGCGTTTTTAGGGGACCCAATTTCCAAATCCTGGCTGTGGAGAATCATCATCCAACACCATTTTAGTTCGGCGCCACTGTAGAGACATTAGGTATTTTTTGGAAGCTGGCAAGACAAAAAATTAGAAACGCCTTCGCCGGGAATCGAACCGCGGATCTCTGGAATACACGCCCAGCGTTCAGACCACCACACCGCGAAGGCATGCCAAGAAGGTGGGAGAAATACCTTATAACCTGAATAATGTTATTGATTTTAAACATGTGTAAAGAAAATCGATTATAACTATTTGTATGTATATTGGACAGTATTGATATATTCCGAATTATATGCAGTTTAATTCATAATATTATTGATAAAAACAACTCACAAATGCTATGGCATCATTTGCTATCATTGCTGTTATTCATGCAATTTTATTTCATTTTTAGTTCCCGTAGAGATTTGATTTCATACTTACGGTTTGTGATAATAATTTTTACATCCTTCAGCAATGAGAAAAGTTTTTCTAGGATAGGGCTGATTAATCCGCCACCGGTTTTATCGGATTTCATTATATATATCTCTGAATATTTCTGCGATGTCTCCATGAAATTAAGTTACTTATTGTTAATTTAGAAGGATAATTTTCTTATCATTTGATGTTATCATTCGAGTAATGTTATCAAAACAGGCTCTAGACAAGCAGGACACGTTAAGCAGCTCGTTCTGTGCTCCCTAATCAATAATACCCACTTACGAGAAAAGTGGATTTCAAACCATTATCCATATAAGCGTTTGTGAAATAAATGTTTTCATCATGAAGACTGTCAAATTACAACCAAGAAAGAGACTGTCTAATGAAACACTAATCAAATATTTTCAAAAACCGTAGGAGACCTTAAGTTTCTAATAAAGACTTTTGATAAAGTCTTCCATTCATATAAAATAACACGATTCAATATTTAAAAGATAAGTTTGTTGTTAAAAATTATAAATAAAGATGTAATTGTTGGATATAAAGAGTTGGATCCTTGACAGGTAATCTTTATAAATTGGTGGTTTTCGATTAGTTTTAATTGGCCGTTATTACAATAGAGAATATTATATTTTGATCTACGACTAGAGAATTTGATTAAAGTTTTTAGACGAGGAAAACATAGTGAAAAGTATATTTCATTATCATTCAATACGATTTTGAGTCAAGTTTAGACACTTCAAACATTAGAAACAGTTTTGCTAATATAAAATTCTGTTTTCTCTTATTATAAAAACAAAACGTTTAGGCATCTGAACAGTTACAAACTTCAGATGCTTATGTAAAAATATTTTAGCAGGAACTTGAAAAAAAAATTAATTTTTCATTCAAGATTATAAATGTTGTGCTTTAATTGTTATTTAAATTTTTACTGTGCAAAAATAAATAAATAAATAAATAAATAAAAATAAAATAAAATAAATCCATTGTATGTAACTAAACTGAGCATTTAATCGAATAAGCAAATTCAACTAAACACGGTAGAGCATACAAGGGCTACCTGCCTGCCTTCGTGGAGCTTTTATTAAGGAAACTGGCTTAATAATCACGTTTCGTAAGGGGAAAAACCACGAAACTGTTTATGCCCGATATCAGCATTCACCGATATCTGAACTACTGAAATTCAGCTGTCTCATTCATTCGATCACCAATGATCCTGCGACTTAAGATGAAAAACGATATCCAGATTTTAAGAATTTGTTCTGAAACAGCCGTCTACAGGCGCTACGGGATCATAGGAATCTCATTAATAACTATACAAACGAAGGCGAAGAAATTGACACTTTACTAAAATTAATGAAAGCTCATACAGTAAGGTAAACAGCTTAAGCAAGAAAAACAGTATTAAGTAAATTATCTTTAACTTGCAAGGATTATCGCAGATCACTAAATTCACACACAAAGCTAGGCGCCACTGAGCGAGAGCTCACTAGACAAATCTGAACTGCGTATGGCTCCAACGTAGTTATAACGCATCCCAAGCACGCTGATAGTTATAACGCATCCCAAGCACGCTACAAGAACAATCCCCCTAATGCTTCGAAAAAAAATTTTTTTTTTTTGAATACTTATGAAATGGTGCCAGATTGTCGAGAAATCGCCAAATGTCATCAACCTCGTCAGGAATTTTTTTGCCCATAGTATCTCTGGCTTCATTTAAATTACCTTTACGATTTAGACGTCACTAATTCAGAATTAGAAGATATGCAACATAATACACGAAACAAGCATTTATAATTGCAAGAAGTAGTTACCAATTCGATTGTACAAATATACACAACAGAATTATTACATAAAATATATGAAATCTAAATGCAAGCCGTTAAACCCAAATATTTATATCAGTAATAACTTTCGTGGATGTAATAAATTGAGTTCTGCGATTCTCTTGAAGTAAAGTTCTTTGTTCTGAATTTGTACGTTTCTTTTGTTTCGCCGTGGTGACATTTGAAAAATATTTGTTTCTTGTTTTATGCTACTTTTGAGTATGTATTTATTTTTAATGTTGTTACTCAGTTCGTGACAAATTGTTTGCTTGTTTCTTTCAGCGCTCTGGCTGACGGTTTGTTTACAAAGTAAGTAGATTTTTCTTTTTTTCTTTAAAAAAATACATCCAGCAAATGTTTTCTGAAACTGCAAATGAGAAATGTTCTTATGCCGGAAGAATTTCTCCTTCTTCCGGCCACTGTGCAATAAATATTTATTTTATATTCTTTCTTGTAATTATTTTGCCTAGCACAAAATTCTATTTGTTTCGAAAGGCACGCGAAAAGTCGTAGGTGAGAGAATTCTGAAATTATTTTCATGCAAGCTTCTGAAGCACGCCATTAAAAGTTTCATTTAACATTAATATTTATTATTTATTTATTCTTGAATTCAGAACATAATTTCTCTCATGAATAAATTTGTCGTAAAAATATTAAAAGGAACGAATAGAAATTGAATCCCTAATGACGATGTAGGTTTTGTATTCGGAGAATTTTATTTTCAGTAAAGTGTTTTTTTAAAGCTTCATTAATGCAAATAATAAGAAAAATTCTAATGCTATGAATGAAAAATTTCAAAACTATTTTTAATTCTAGAGAATTTTAAGTATTTGGAATGATATCGTCATGAAAAAGAATAAAGCATTTTAATCCGGCTGCGAGTAAAATTAATCATTCATAATGAAGGAGTAAAATACTTATTCTTTCCCTAAAATTAAAAAATGTGTTTTTACATATTACCTATTCTTTAAAATTAAATCAGGCATTAACTTTAACGACTGCTTAAAAATCACAACTAAGTTTTTTGCTTTATAGCATCGTTTCCTTTTTCCAGAACGATTTTCATTTTACTGATATTTATTTAGCTTCTTTTACATTTAAATTCAGTATCTGTAATATATTTTGCAATGTTTGCTTGAAATTTTTTTTAAAACATGCTTTTAACATGAAAATTTTTAAACGTGTCATTAAGAATCTTACATTGTTCGGAAAAGGTGATTACAGTGCTTGCTTCTCTAAATATTAATTTTAAACGTGTGTTTCAAATGCAGAATTTTTTTTAATGAGATACGGAAAAAAAGCATGCGAAAAGTTTCAGCATCGTGACTGGAAGAGTTCCAAAAAGTAGAATCTAAATTTTTGTATTTCTTCCCAATATTAAATTACCGGTAATTCTTTAATAAGTTGTTATAGTGCTGGTAACAAACTTGAAAGTTTTTTCCATATATCACAATAAATTTACTGCCAAAAATAGTTAGTGTAAATCTTTTTGATTGAGCAATGTTCCTATGTAATACTGTAACTGTTGGAGAGTACTAATAAAAATTTATTTTTAAAATTCAGAATTGTTATAGGCTCTCGAATATATGGCCGCAAGCTACAGTGCAATCTACCAGATAAATAAAAGACGAAAACCACCAACTTATTTTCCTGACATTGGACATTGTAAACGTTGATGACAAAATATAATACGCTATATATAATATGCTGCATTTTATAATGAAATTCACAATTTATGGTTTTCCTTTTTGTGTGTTAAAAAGCTGAGGAAAAAGCACAGATAACTTTCAATTGATTAGATACCTCATGTAGTATAATTTACAAAATTGTATTTAAAAATTACTGTACAATTTAAAAAAATTCAGATGATAAAACTTGTAAATTTATAATATCTTGAAATCGGAGAATAGCGCAAAAATAGTTTGCGCGACGCTTTTCCCATTATATATAGGTTTGTTAATAAACATTATGACTTCTCCAGACAGATAAAAGTCTTTTTCCTAATTTCAATAGGTATTGTTTGTCAACTAATGTCAACAATATTTACTGTGCCTGGAGTATAGTTATTCGTATCTTGGTGAATTCCAAGTTTAAAAAAATTAAGAGTACATCAATTGTGATTTTAATGGATTTTGAAATCTAATGCTAAAGTCAGTATCTAATGATGCAATACCATGCAACTTAAGATCAGTAGTGTGTAAATAATTTTTTCCTGAGATGCGTATCGTTTTCCAATATGGCATGTTAAAGAAGAAATCATTCGATCCAATCCACCAAATTGCTTCCAAAATGCTTCCAAAAAAACAAGTCTGGATACTTGATATTTTTATTTGTTGGCAGTAAGGCTGCTGGAATGCTATGATGAAAGAATTCCGACAGCAATGTGCCATACTTTGCTGTTGTGCAATATTATCTTCTTTAAGTGAAAATGGAATACAGTTATATCAGCATTCCCAAGACATCATAAACATCACTTTTACCCGTAAATATTTTTATACTAAAAAAGGCAGTGTTTCTAATGCTAAAATTCATTGAAAAATATATATATATAATATTTAACATTTTAAAATGTAATAATATATTAATGAAATAAATTTTATGATTTTATTTATGGAATTTACTGAAGTTAATTCCTCGGCTCTTCTTATAATTCTTTACTCCACAAAATTGACATAGGCAAGCTACTCTGTGTTACCGTAAATTAAAATTTCACTTTAAAGAATACAATCTGATGAACATTACAGAAATTCAGTAAAATATAACTAGGAATTTAAAGAGTGTTCCAGTTGACTATCACGCTATCAAATGCAAAACGCAGTAAGCAGTTTTTTCGAGAGCCATTTGTTTTTTTCCCTCTTAAATAGTTTGGACGACAGTTTTTATATCTCAGTGAATTTCAGAAAGACACAGAGCCTTCGGCATTAAATCAACCAATCATTAAGAAGAAACTATCACAGGCTATTGCTATGTAATTAAATTCATAAGAGATCCTTAGAAATGATCTATTAGACAGGGAGTTACAGTAATTTGTTTTTCCTTCTGACAGCAGTTTAAGGGAGGCATCTAAAATCTTTTACGAACTGTGCCCAATTATGTGTAATAGTGTAAGGTGTTTATGTAGGAAACTGCCGACATTTTCTTTAAATACTAGTGTTTTAAAAATTGGTTCTAAATTTTTAATACATATTATGTGTTTCCAATATTTTAAACCAAACGTACAAGGTAAGGCAAAAGGAATTATCTGCTGCAAATTAATCGTAGCAAATAAGTTAACATGCATTTTTCCAAGATACAGCACATTAAACTTTGATAAGTTTTTTGTCACACATTATAAATGCTTTATAAAATCTTTCTGTCTCCTGACACATATCCAGTCTGTTGTTCATAGAAGCAAAGGAAACTCCATTCTTCACTTAGCTTAAGAAAGAATTTGTCGGACTTCATTCCTCGCGTTTGGGAAGGGTATGTTAAAAAAAAAATACATTATTTTCGCGGCTGTCTTTGCCACTCGGTTGTGATGAATCCGCATTTATCCATGCCGTCGTTTTGACGGTATCGTATGTGCGTCAACTTCTGTAGACTGAAACAGGATACAGCAGTGGTCTTCAAACTGTGGTTCCGCGGAACCTCGGCGTTCTGGTATTAAACCCCAGGATTTCGTGAGTCAAAATAAAAATTTGAAAAGAAAATTATAAAGCAGTTACAGTAGTTAACTAGTATTTATTAACTAAAATATATAACGATGCGAGGCCCGGTGGCGCAGTGGTTAGCGCATCGCGCACCAGCACCACAGGTCCAGGGTTCGATTCCCGAGCTGGGCAAGGTAGACTCAGCCTTTCATCCCTTGATTTCCATCACTTGGGTCGATAAAATGAATACCAAGTTCGCTTGCGGACTAAACACCTGGGGCCCTGCGACAAGCTGACACTTGTTCAGGGCATATGCTTACGCACCCCGGGGCCCACGGTCAAGAAAACAGATTTCGGGCACTGCAGGCCTTGGCCCATTAAGGCTGTTACGTCACTGAGTTTAGTTTTTACATAGATATATTGAGTTTCAGATTAGTTTTGAAACTTAGCTTGTGGTCATCATATGCCAAAGAGAATGCCGTGCAATACTTTTCTAATGGAAAATTAATGGAATTTAGACGGCAGTGTTAAAAAGTATGCAATAGAGCACCTTTTTCAGTTGAAAGAATATATAGCAGAGGTAAATGCAGGCATATATAGGTAAATATATGGCTTTTAAACTGTTTGTTATAATCGATAACAGGAGGAATTTTTAGACTTGCCTTCTATTACGTTACATGCAGAAGGTAGATACCGTTAATTACTGTACTACTAATAACTTTATTATCAGTATATTTATCTTGGAAGTCATTTCGGGTTTAATTCTTTCTTACTTTTTACAGGAGCTTAACACCGGTATTGGAGAACATCACTACCGATGAAAGATGTGATGTCCATTTAATGGTGCTGGGCATCCGAGACGAGAAGGAAGGTTGGCTACATCTGTACTGCCCTGGTGGCATAGCCTGTGAAGATGATGGAGAATTGTGGAGTAAGATGGTAAGCGATTGTTAATGAAAGGCCTATTTTACTGGTTGGGAATGATTTTTTTTATCCCTCTTCTCCCGGCTTGGCTCTCACTTTTTAGAATTCTTTTCTTTTCACAAATGCATAGTGTAAAACATTTAGAATAGTACACCTATCCCCGACTAGTACAGTGACAGTCAAGCTGCGGGTGTTGTCACATTTAACGATGCTAGGACCCATCAGAATTCGCTCTCTAGGTTTGCCAATGGCCATATTAAATGTCTTAAATTCTGTCGGCATTATAAATTGTTTACCTTTAGAACAAACAGACGCAATTCTGGGCAAACCAGCCCTTGTCATCTTCTCGCCTAGATTAATTTTATGAGGGACTGTTATGTAAAGGTCTTGAATAAAAACCTTCAAGATCTTTATTATCAGTATATTTATCTTGGAAGTCATTTCGGATAAGGAAGGTTTGTTGTACAGATCTTGAAGTACCGATTTTAAAATGACTACTAAGTCTTCGATTTTGTAACGAATCAAATAAGTGAACGCATTAAAGATATGAAATACGTGTTTAATGAGATTAGGAGAATTAAAAAGGCATGAACAAAACAAACTTTACAATTGTATATACATTTTGAGATTTGGCTATGAGGTTAAATAATAAATAAATAATTTTAAATAAAGATTAAATGGAAGTGGATTAATCATTTTATTGTTTCATTTTACAACATAACTTTGCGGAACAATGAGCAGTAAAGTTAACAAAATAAATCAACTCGCATAATTAATTAAAAACTTCTCTGTACATCATGTTTCAGGTAAATAATAAATGGACATATACATGTGTACAGTACTTTAAACTTAATGTAAGCTTTTGAGTGGAAAACTCGCCTTGCTTTAACTAAAATGTAATAAAAAATTCCAACGCAATCAGTGCTAAACAACGAACACTCACTTTTTCCTGCAGATAGAGAAAAATCCGCCGATGCTTTCACGTTGCGGGATGAAAGAAGTTAAAATACTCGAAAATGTGGATTGGGATAAAATACGCCTTACTTTCTTTGATTTAGTTGGTAAATTATGTTTTTAGTGTGTTTGATAAGCTTTCGAGATAAGTGCATTATTAAGCGGAAGCAAATAAAACGAAGCAATAAAATTCATAAACTAATAAAAACTGACTTGAAAACGACTTAGAGAAAAATTATAACATTTACTTTCCCTAATGTATAAAAGTGTCTTTGCTTAGAAAGATAGATATATTGCGTTTTTCGGTTATGCATTTCGTTAAAAGACGAAGTTGTAAAATAAATATTTTTATGGTGGTACAAATAAATCAATAAAAGATGTGTATTACGAGTCTCTTACATCAGATTGAAAAAATATTCTGTATATATGTGATTAAGCGTGATTAGCACACAATGTTGTAATTCGCATAATAAGCTAACAGAAAAGATTTTTCCTCTTAGTATATTGATTCTAAAATTTAGTAAAAAGTGCTCTAATGACTTCGAAATATTTGTGAAAGAAGTATTAAAAGCCGAAAACCAGGGATATTTACAAGTGAGTAAACGCGTCAGTCCCTTTTTATCGTAAATCATCTGTGCTTTAAAGCAGAGGGAACAAATACTTTTAATCACGACGCAAAAGGTCTTATGCCAAGCAAAAGCATCGTTAAATTGCATTCCATAGCGGTCAAAGTGTATATTTTCGTTTAAATATGATACCCGGAATTTTTCGTGATTACAATACTTCCTTTACTTCGCACAAGGAAGTAAAAAGAATACACAAAATTATTCTTAAACAGATAAATAATTTGCTTTTTTTTTTTCATTAGATAGTCTCCTTTTGCAGTGTTAAAGTAATTCAATGGGATACATATTTACATTTTTACTGGGGTTCCTCATTATATGCGCAAAACTGTCTATACATAAGAACTCTGGCTTTAGTGCATCATGCGGGCAGGAATGTCGCAAGGTACGTTGGTCCTTGTATGAAGAACTTTTTCAGTGCTCGAACTGTTTGCGAGAAATTGATGGGGGCGGACCGACTGCGGTACAAATTGTTTGTTATATAAATTACAAATTAAAATAGCATTTAATGCACTTAATTTTATAGTTTTCTATAAAAAATTGCCCCAGACGGGGAGCAGGGGGTCACGACGGCCCTATATGCGGATCAACTAATGAAATATAAAATACTCTTACGAATTTTATACATAAATAGATGATTTTAGCGCACTTATATGTGAAATTGTTGCATTCTTCTGTATAATGTAACTTGAAAATCTAGAGAGACGGTGCTGTGCCGGAAAAGCAAGAATAGAAGGGCAAGCCTATTTAACATTGAGTAAATGACTATGTAACTTGGCAGCAACGGATTTGGTAACTCATTTTTGTCTCCAAATTTGGCGAGAAATTCTCAAAAGTCGCTAAACTTAGTGACCATTTGGCGACATTTTGGTCCAGTCCCTGTATCACCATAATAGGTATTGTAATTAAGTACCTGTAATTGATTTCATATGTAGTGGTAACCTCTCATATGCCTTCCCCAGTAATTTTCCTAGATATATCTCGGCCGCCGGGTGAAAACTATATAAGAGCATTTGTTGGAGAGAGCATCTGCTCTCAGTTGTGAGTTGCAGCGTGAGCTCGAAGTACTGGAATATCTACCAGTTAGCTTTGATAATTAGATGTTTTCTTTTTTTAGATGCACTAAGAATGTTAAACACAACGCTTTGCATTGTGTTTAACATTCTTAGTAGTTTGAAGTGTAACTACTGATTAACTACTCGTACAGAGTAGAGTCTGCGATACTCTACTCTGTAAGTGTATTTCTGATTTCTGTGGAAAGTTCCAGAACTCTGAAGGGTTTATTATGATAAAATAAATTACGAACTCATACGCACGCAACCATAAACACGTAAATTGCCAGGAGTATGAAGAAAATGAAAAGTAACCGATAACTAAACATTTTTATAGCCTTATACTTTTGAGTACAGTTTTATGTTTGTTACAAACATTGGATTGTAAAAAGAAATATTAATTAATGTATGCTTTTTATGTCTTATTAAATCCTGGAATGTTCGTTTGCGATTACTTCATCAAAATTAGATTCCAACTCACTTGTAGCAATCCTTAATACCGAATGTAAATTTTCCAAAAAACAGGATCTGTTCTTATTGACATGTATGGTATTTTATTTTAAATAAAAATCTAGAAGTGAGATGTTCTTTCTGTATATTTTATCCCAACAATATTCATGTTTCTTTGTTTAATATCTAAATCAAAGCTACTAAAAATAACAGAACCCTATTCTATCAGCGGATTCGCAAGTATACCTTGTGTTCTCAGCATAGATTGACTGTTAATATAACCATGCCTATACATGCGCATACACACTGTAACAACTGATCTGCATTCATGCCACTGCTTTCCGCAGTTTGCGTAAAAAGTCGAGTAGGAAAGAAATAAAGAAAACAATGCACACGATTCATTAAAATCGGATTAAACAATTGAAAAGGCCGCATTCGGCCCACGGGCGAGCATTTATCCATCCTTTTTTAATATCTGATGCCCATCAGCGATCGAAAAATCACTGAACACTGGTAGTTCGACCTGTGTTCGAATCCCAGGGAATGGGCTGCCTGCATGATTGGTTTTCGCCACATGTAATGTGGATACGAGCGAATTTCCCTTAAAAAGTCATCTAGGAAGATATCTCTCCCCACAGGCAGATAGTCTTCGAGATACTTTGCCGTAATCAGTTACCTAACTTAATCTTTTAATCTGTATATTTTTAATTAATAAATATCGTAGTAAGAGTGATTATGAATTAGCATGTAAATGAAAGACATTTAAGTTGGATAATGAATTTTTCTGGTGTTAAATAATTTTGAATGAAAACGTTAAGAGAATAGTATATTTGTATGATATATGCTAAAAGTATATCGATAAATAAACTTTAAAAAGACGGACTAATGACGGACTGGAAGTTGTAAATTTGTTCTAAAATAACAAATTAAAAAATATATATCAAGTTCGTTTGAAGGTGATCGGAACTCAAAATTCAGCACGATACTAGAAAAGTACTTAATAACATGAAAAATAAATGTACATATTAAAATATAAATTATAATATAAAATTAATAGATCATTAAAGTTGTGGAAGAAACATGCTCGTAAAATTTACTCTTATAAAATCCGATACGTATGGAAAATACATCAGGTAAGCTGAAAATTATAAGAAAATGTCCGAATACTTAGAAAATAATAAATTCTGAAAGTAGAAAAAAAACTAATAATAGAGTCTAAAATGAAATAAAATATTATAATTAGTAAAAATATGAAACTATGTAATGAAATTAAAACTATGTAAAGAATTTCTGCTTCCTTAGCGCGTATCTTCGTGGTGTAATTGAATTAGTTTATTAAATTATGGCAAAGCACACGAAGGCTATCTGTTTGAGAGAGGGATATTTTTAAGAACTTTCTAAAAGAAACTGGTTGTATCTACATTACATGTGGGGACAAACGTGAAAATACCCATGAAGCCAGTCCATTCGCCAGGTATCGAACCCAGGTCGAACTATTAGTGCTCAACGAGTTTACATCTCGATCGCTGATGTAATTGAAAGCAAGTCCGGCTAGCACCGAAAGGTCCAGAGCTCGAATCTCGGCGAAGGCATCGCTTATTTAGCACGTTTCCTGCTCCAAAATTCTAAATGGCACTACAACTAGTATAACAAGTAAACTAAAGTGGGAGTGTAAAATAGACTAAAGATAATTAAATGAATAATATAAGAACAACAGTTAATAGTTATTGGCATAAAATGAAATGCTTAGCTTAAAAATATTGGACTATATAAGCAAATTATAAAGCTCTAAAAATGCGAAGGAAAACAAAGACCTTTTTTTATATATACTTATTTTGCGTGATTTACATATACTTATGTTGCGATTCAGAAGCTGAAATAATTGGGTTCACATTTTGACAATTTTTGGCTCCCAACTTGCTTTATTCCTGCAGTGTCAAATTAGTCAAAGTTATTTCGAAAGTATCAGAGTATCACATATATAATCCTATGGATTTTTTTTTAAATAAGTAAGAGAAAAGAGAGAGAGACTTGGGCTGGTAGTAATAAATCTATCTTAAGAATTGTTAGCTGTATTTTTCTCATAGCATATAAATGCTTTTAAAAGCAGCAGTAGCTTTTTTTACAATAAATAAAAGCTTTTATCATCAATAAATATTCCTTCGTCCAAGTACTTTCCTTTCGGCATAAAAATTTTAATATAATCTTTTCGGTAAGTCATTTTTCCTTTAAAAACAATTAAACATTTCTCGGAAAGTCTTTGGTTATAAAATTAAAAACAAAAAGCATTTAATATACTCAAATTACTATTCTTGTCGAATAAATCTTCCGCATAACACAAATAATTTTCTTGGAATAAATATTTCTCACAGCAAATTTTAGTCATTATGGTTACATGGTGCTAGTATAGGTCTTTCAGAGGTGGAAAAAAATTCATTTTCCAAAGTATGTTGATTCCAAAAACAAATTGATGCAATCATTTTCCCCAAAAAACATTTCCGAAAACGAATTAGTTCATCTACCTTTTTTTCCACCGAGTACGATTTGTTTACTATAATTGCGCGAGATTAATCTTCGAATTCCTTCTCCGTTTTTTTTTTTTTTTTTTTTTTTTTTTGCTTTTGCCAACAGTTTATTTGTACGTTTGAAGGTGTTTATTAAAAATGCAATTATTGCTAAGAAAATGACGTTTTGGAGCTGATGTATGTTAAACAACTTGAGGTTGGAAATATTCAAAATAAGACTTTTCATTTCAAAGATAAGTGATTTATCTTTTTTAGAGATATGTGAGAAAGAATGTTGCGTAAATTTTGAAATAAAAATAATTATCATGACATGCTTAGGAAAATGCGTAAAATGCTTAGGCATATATGAAATTTATGAAATACCTGCATGAAATACTTGAGAATATAAAAGTTGTTTATACTTATTAAAAAATTTTTAAGGCTATAAAATTGTTTGCAAAAAATAATGACCTGATTAAAAATGATAGTATTTTACAAACTAAGGCTAAAAATACTTTACATCCTTAGCCTACATTCTTTATCTAGAAAGTTCTGTTAGAAAGAGCATTGCATAGTTAGAAATTTCATGCTTAAAATAATTAGTATGAAATGTTTAGAAAATATTTTAATAACATTTCTAATGTATATGATTTACGACGCATCTAATTTGGCTGATTCATAATACATGCAACTGGTAATTTTATATACATTTATTGTAATTAAGATATTTTTCACGCCTTCGCCTATAATAACCATTAGACTGCAGCCCAAAAATTAAGCTTTAATTTATTTTTCGCCATTTATCAAGTTGTAGCGCACAAAATACAGGTGATCTAAAAGTCGAGCACGTCAAAATTTCCAAATTTGTGGAAATTACGAAATGGATTTTAATGATTTTTTTTTTAATTTGTAAGGTATAATTAATGTTATAACAGTTATTTTAATTTCAATGTGCTTTCCTATCAATTCTTGTTTCCACTTTAAACAAACTTTCTTGTTGATTCAGTTTTTAGAATCGCGTTGAAGGCAAATGAGTTAGAAGTAGTATTTAAGCAAGGTTGAGCTTACCTCGTGAGAGAGAGCTAGGAATCCTGAGCAGGGTCGGATTTAGACTTGATAATGCCCTAAGCTATTTGAGATATAGAGACCTTTATGAGTGCATATAGTATATCATATGTCAGTGCCAAATATGATTTTCGAATACTTAGAGGAGTTTATTGGGGGTCTCCAAGAAAGCGGGGCCCTTAGCTATAGCTTGTGTAGTTCATACGTAAATCCTGCGCTGATCCTGAGTAGCGAGCGTTTGCCTGCGGGCTAAATCTCTCTTGAAGCTGTTACGCTTAGCCGTATATTACTTCCCTTTTGATATTTTCTTCAATTTTCGGTTTTGTACATTTTATTAATAAACTGTACAATTAGTCTTACAACTTTGTAGACACTCTGTATATGCTTAAACAGTAAAGAATCGAATTATCTGTAATTCGAATCTTGTAATACTCTGGAATCGAATATTGAAAAAAGCGTGAATATTCGAGTTTCGGATCTTTTCAAAAGAGATTTGAGGATTCGAAAGTCGTATCTTTATTTAACATCCTTTGAATAGGAAGTTAAAAATCTGTGTCTGTATAGAGTTTTATCAGATTTGAGAAATTCTATAGTATAATGTATTGAAAGCAATTGTTAAACTCCTTGCAGACAAATTTACATTATTTTTTTTTCTTTAGCGGAAATCGGACTGTGATTCCATTCAATAGTGACCCATACATCCGATTTGTATATTGCCTACGGAAGTAATTTAAAACATGTAGACTTTTTATTTTAAATTTGTACATGAGACAGAAAGAGAAAGTGTGTTAAATGAGCAGTGAGTTTTAGTCGCCGTATTTCTAGACTGTCTAGACCGCTATATCTCGTAACATTCTTTATGTTTGGGTTATCAGGGTATACGACCTTATATTTAGAATTTCTGATCCGGGATTTTCCTATAGCAGGCTGTAAAATTCTGCGCTAATGGGTTTACATTTTAAGAAGTTGTCGAAAATATGTTATGGGTTTTAATGAAACTTTTCGATATTCTGAAGCTTTTTAAGGAGATTTTAGTAGAGACGATAACGTATCAATATAAAATGGATAAACTTAGAAAAAATTAAATTATATACTATAAGCAAAAATAGCCTTCGTTCCTTCTAACTAGAAGCAAAAAATGTTGCTATGTTGCACATAGTTATTGATTTAATTTTTCTTGGTTGTCCAACTGACTAATAAGATAAGGTGATGTGTTTTCCTTTAAAATGGCATAAGCTAATTTGCTGTTTATTTTATTAGGCTAATTTAAGAGAATTTATTGCTCTGTTTTCTGCATTTAAAAAGAGCATATTTACTTTTAGCTAAACGTGTGATAGATAGAACGCTTTATGTTCCTTGTAATTTACCAGTTATTATCGTAATTGAAGATAATTTATTTTTATGTCTCTACTTTTGTCTTAAAAAGAATTGTACGTTTAATTATGATAATTAGAAAATATTAAATTTCAGTATGTTCGGTATCGGTGCTTAGTTTTCTCAAAGTTATGATAATTAGAACATTCTTAGTAATTTGCCACGTATTGGTATAATTTAAGATTTAACTTAATTTTAAGATAATTATATCACTAATTCATCTGCTTTTACATTAAAAGGTACAAATTTACTCTATAATACGCACAGTGTTATATCTAGAATATTTAATATTCCTTGTAAGTTACAGCTCGTTAACATAATTTAAGAAAATTGATTAGTATTTCTCCAATTTTACTTTAAAAAAAGTTTACATGCTTTGTGTTACCACAAAATGTGATATTTAGAACCTTATTTTCTTCTACATTTTCTGCTTATTACCATAATTTTAAATAATTTACTCGCTAAGATAATTCATTTTTTTGCTTCACCCAACGACTTACGTTAATACATAATTTAATAATATTATTATTGCTCCTCCCATTTTTTTAATTTTTTTCTTTCAAAAAAAATTTTAAAATTTTAAAAAATAGAAAGACCGGTATTTGATTCTCCTAGAAATCGATAAAGTTATCATTTAAAATGTATGCCACTCTAGGATTACTTTTCCCCTAATTTTAAGTTTTATTCTGCCATCTGTATCTTTTGATAGAGATGTTTTCATGCTAGGTACCTCCAGGAAAGATTATTTTACATGTATTATTATTTATTTGATTGTCCTCTTAATGTGAATCCTTGGACATAATGTTAATCTGTATTTTGTTTTATTTAAATCTGAACAGTATTTATCTTCTATAATACTGCTGTCGCGAATTAACTCTATAATCTAGAGTTTCTAACGTATGTTTAACTAGTTAGACTACATATTCGGAGTATCAGATTTCATTGATGGTTTTTGTTTGAACAGTTGAAGAATCTCTTGGATTGCTGTTGCCGAAGGAAAAAATTCCTGGAAAATCTAACAAAAAGCATCGGCCCTTGCATGCTGAGGGCACTCAGGGATGACCAGACATTACAGTCAGCGCTCTGCTCCATGCTAGAACTAGAAGTCGTAGACAACAAAGACCTTCAGATGCAGATCATCACGACTCTGCAAAGCACGCCAACTGGCAAGCAACATTACGCTGCGCTGTGCCAGCGTCAGCATCATCTCAGGCAGTTGGTAAGTCAGCGTTGTTGCTCTTGAGGCTTCTAATGATTGTTTCTTTATTGAACTGTGGTGATTGCTTCTTTAATAAATATTTCTGAAACTAATTTATTTCTAAACTATTCCAGCAACAGAAAGGAGGACCAAGGAAACTGACACTGCCTTCTAGATCTACAGTAAGTTCCTTTCTTTTTTATTTACCAAATTTATATGCAAAGACGATATGAAATCAAATGGCAAAAAGACCTTATACATGATCCGAGATTTTTTGCCAATTATATTTGCCTGCTGTGACATTGATTAACATTTTAACGCAGATGAGTTATTTTTGAATTTATAGACAAAGATATTATAGGGGTTTATAGATTTATCTATTGCCAGAAAAGAATACGATGAGTGTTAATAGTATTACTTTATATTCTAACATTTCCTTTTTTTAATTGTCTTTTATTATATGGATTAAGATTTGATGTTATTAGTAATTCCAGTAGGCAAAATATCTGTATAGAGTTTTATCAGATTTGAGAAATTCTGCTAATTCTACAAATTTTACAACGAATGTTTTATTAATTCTACAGAAGAATACGCCACACGAATTGAATATGGAGGAAGACAAAAATTAATAACAGCAGTTCGCAGTTCTATGCCTTCAAAAGTCAGCCATTCAAAAATTCAAAGTCAATCATTCACAGAATAAGAAGGCTGGAAAAAATCACAGCTGGATTTACAGCAGTGAGCAACAATGAGGCTAAGAGAAATATGCTCTTTATATTAGAATACAGAAGCAGCTTCAAGAAATCTATACTGTTAGTCTTTGTAGTTAAACTTTGGGGAACTTATTTTTATCAAAAGTGATCGAAACACTAGTAAGGGAATTACCTACTGTTTGATCAGGTAAGTCATGCGCTTCTGGAACCTGTAGGAAGTACACCCAGCTCTCTCTTCTCTCTCTCTCTTTTTTTTTTTTTTTTTTTTTTTACGCGATTTTGAAATAACATGGTTCGCCAGTAAGAACAAATACACTTTTTTACACGAATTTTTTGTTCTAGCTGGAACCTAAAAATGTTTTTTAATTCTAATTTGGACAGTGTGATCAGAAGTCGGTCAGTTTATGCCCCCCCCCACATATTTTAGTGACTTGGCCTACTTCATCAAAGAATTTGTAATGTTAAGAACGAAAGCTTAGTCAAAGCAGGAGTGGATCTGCCACACCTAAGAGGGACATCCATCGAGCCTTATGCGCATGCGGCAAAATAGCAGTCGAGTAGGTGACGAAGATCACGTTTATGAAGTTCAAACCTCTGACACCAGTTTTTTTTTAAATATATATATACATTGAATCGACGTAAATTAAATCCCTGAACAAACTGTGATATGGATCAATCTGTTGATTAACAACATGCAAACGGCTGACATCGAAAAATTGATGCGAGAAGGCCTTTTGGATGAGGACGATTTGATCAATTTATTACAGTTTATGATAATAAAGAAGGTGATAGTGACGGAGTCGAAGGTAAAGCTCAGCTATTAACGGTTGATTTAATTCACGAGGCTTGAAATTTGCTACAGGTATGGAACAATATTTTCTTACTCATGATCCTGACATGGAGCATGCATTAAAATTTCAACGTAATCTTAAGTTTTGTGTAGTATCAAGAATTATATAAACAACTTGAGACCCCCCCAAAATATATATATATATGGCTGAGGGTGAAGGCTTAATGAAGCAAATAATAAAACTGAATTGAAGAATCACCATCTTTATTTTTATACATCTCAAATCATCTCTTTGGCAGACAAATTTACTTTTCAATCATATTTGAATACAATAACTTCTTATATACACAGATAGAGAGATTCTACGTTATTTCAGGCAGGACAGCATAAGCGGCGCAGAGTTGTTTGCATAGCAGAAGTTTGGAAGAAGAAAGGGGACGTAGGTTTCTCGCAAAACCGTATTTATACGACTTAGGTGCAGAAAGTATTCTAAGCTATTATTGGTCAATATTAATTTTAGTTACCTTTGTGTTATGCAGTGTTATGTAATTTGGAATGATCTCAAATTTGGGAGAACAGATTAATTTAGGTGGAGAGCACCAAATCTAGAAATATTAATCTTGAGGTCGCCAATTATTTTTACAGCAGCTATCGTAGTTTGTCATATCTTACATATCCCCTTCAAAAGAAAGGTTGGGAGAGCAGTGTGGAAGAAAAAACATTAGAGCAGCAAAATATGAGAGATATAATTTTGAAAATACAAAGCATAAAATTAACTTTTGAACAATTAAAAGAATTATAAGTCGTAAAATTTTGACTGAATTTGACATTTCACTAAATATCGTAGAATTTTGAATTCAATAATAATTAAGCACTATATTCTTTTAAAATAATTGTGCATTTTTAGAATCCTCAAGAAAGGAAAATTGAATGTCCAATGAGAAAATTTTGTAAATTGTCTTGACAAAAATAATTGCACAAAGTAAATGTTCAAATGTTTTTCAGATTTTCTTGATGAAAATATTTCCTTTATAATGCAGATTAAGCTGCTAACTTTCATGTAGAAATATAACTTATAATTACTTGAGTAATTTCTTCCCATTGTAGATGTACATATTTAATACAATAGAAAATTCAATGTAAAAACATAAGAATATAATATAAAATAATAATATATTATAAATAAACATAATAGTAAATAACACCAGAATACTTTGACGATTCATTTGGCATGTCCTCTCTAACAAAATCAACCTACCATCTTGCTGATGGTTGGGAGATACTTAAGAATAATATATCAAAAAACCTCCGTTCCTTAGAAAAGGTAACTGGTTTTTGGCATTGTATAATTGTCAAAGTTTTTCTGTTTCTAGAATCTTTCATATTAATAATAATACAACATTAAGATTGAAGAAGCTGAAGACAAATAACTTATATAATCAAGTTAAAGTTTTTTTTTTTAATTTTGCAAAATATATATATATATATATATAATTAAATTTACCCTTCAATAAGAAGAAAAAAAAGTAAAGATTTGCTTTTTTCCTTTTTTAAAAACATTTTACCATTATTTTTAAAGCAGCTATCGTATTTTGTTATATCTTACATATATATATATATGTGTGTAAAATATAACAAAATACAATATCTGCTTTAAATATGTAAGATATAACAAAATACGATAGTTGTTTAAAAAAAAATTTGGCGACCTCAAAATTAACATTCTAAATTTGGTGATCTCCCCCTAATTTCATCTTTTCTGAGAAATTCCAGATTTTTTTATGTTTTAATGCAGATACTTCTTGTCCAGTCAAATTAATTGTAAACCAAAACTCGGAACTGAAACTTTTTCGACTCACGCCTTTCTTCCTCTGAAGTACTGCGACACTCTTCCCTTTTTCGCTTACGCTTTCGTGCTGGCAACACGCTAATTTTCCATGCTGCCACTTACCTGCTTAAGGTGACGTCGTACTTCAAAATGGAACTTATTGTATTCAAATATAATTAAGAAATATCTTGTATATCCACCTTCAAGCCACTACAATCTTCTCAGTCATCTACGCAATATCGTAAGCTGGTAAAAGTTCCAGTACCTTCATCTACGCATTTTAAAATCATTACACATTTATAAAGCAACTATTGTATTTTGTTATATCTTACACAGATTGAGATTGATTTGTAGATTTGAGATTCCAGTTTTTGGTTTTATATAAATTCTTTAATAAAACTTTGATGAAATCTTTACGGTTTTTGATCTCAAATGGACCAGGAGAATGAAACATATTTTCGAAACATATTAAGCGACTTTTATGAAGCTTTAATTCATTTTCCCGTGATGAGTTCTCAATTGGAGTTTCAATGAAAGGAGTTTAATTTTTACTTGTATAATTTTGTGCATAATCCATCATAATGTGCATAATCCCTCATAATGTAATCCCATTTACATTTTTAGTTTTCGAGTTTGTTCCACTTTGAATTCTTTCTTTGATTGGATTTGTTTTGATATTGCGTTAAACTTCTTATGCACGGTTGCAATTGTTATATTATAGAGGAATTGCCTTTCTTTTATTCCAATTTAATAATAAATTTGGATGCTTTAAGTTTATATATATATTTATATATATAACATGAAACCCTGGATTATACTTAAATACGTAACATTTTAAGAAAATATAAATACAGGAATCTAAACATAGATAAAATAAATGTTCAGTTAAAAAAAGATATTTTCATATCAAGCTGTCCTCTGTTATTTTCCTGTCTTTACACATATAAAGTATCCAACAATAATAAACACTTGCTATCAGACACCTCTTTTCTTTTTCATACTTTTTAATCCGATTTTATTGTTTACAACGATATCTATTTGTAACTGCACTGTAATATAAGTAAGTAATAACTTAAATATAAGGAACGTGAGAAATTTTATATGGCATTTATTTCAATCTGCTTAAGGAAAGAATAGTCCTTTTGTGAAACTTCATAATCTGAATATTCTTACTTAATTCAAACTGTCTGAGTTTCTTTTATGATACATTCATCAACGCCCTGCACGTGCTTTTAGTTTAATTTTCGTCAGAGTTTATCGACACTTGTGTTGTTTCAATTTGCGTAAAAGTTTGATTCACAGTTGAAATTATAGAAATTTGCTTTACTGATACGAAGACTTTAGTTGCGTGCTATGCGTTCTTTAGTTGCGTGCTATGCGTTCTTCGATATCTCTTTAAATAATAAGATCAGGTTCTAAAACATCGAGTTTTTGAGAGAAGAAAATGCGAAAAATCTGTTGTGCTCTCCCCGCATACAAACCATGCATCTTCCGCTGCTAGCTAGATCACGCACGAGAAAAGTGCTGTCGAATGAGTTATAAGTTGAAAAGAAAAACTCGAAACTTTATTTCTACTTCAGATGCAGAACAGTTTTTGCATATAAGATAAGACTGCTCAATACTGGTAGTGCGACCCAGGTTTAGGTTCTGGCGAATAATTTGGTTATGCGTAAATTAGGAGAAATCGCAGATTTTGGCGATTTTTCTCGAAACGCATTGAACAAAAGGTATAAATTTTGCCTCCAAACGAATATTGCAAATTTTTAGTGTCGTGTGGATGGAGTAATTAGGGAAAGGTAATCGATACCTGACGTGCCTTCATCTGGAGCGAATAAAAGACCTTCAACATCC